ACTAGTAAAGGATTTAATTATACGTACCCATCAGACAGTCCACTAGCTTTCGAAGCGACTAATAATCATGAAATTATTGATAATACGAGTAATATATTACTGGATTCACAACAAGAATCATACATTTCTAACGTTACAAATGAGACGAGAAGTGCATTGAATGCCATTCACAACCAATTCGTTAATAGAGTTCAAGTGAACGAAAGCCAAACCAATGGAACCGTTGACTCTCAGAGAGATGAGGATAGTATGGATTACTCAACGGATGATCCCTATCCTTATACTACTACTTATGATTTTGATTCATATCAAAGTAGTCGTTAAAGTATCCATTTGTATTGTATCATATTTACATAAATATATGGCTCATTCTATACTTATAATTAACTTTTTACTTATTATTTTTAAATTTTCATTTTAATAAATGTTTGGTATTTAATAGTGTTTAGTGTTAATATGAAATTTTGTATAATTTGCTATAAATTGAGTAAATAAACTCATTCATTCATAAACTAAAATTATAATTATTTAAAAAATTATTTAATCATGATTTATAAGTACGGTATTTCTTATATTATTTATAACTTAACCGATAAAAATACCAAAGTTTTGCCATTTATGCTACAATATTTGGAAAATACTATGAAAGTATCAAACAATCTGTAAAAGGATTTCCCATTTGATGTTCAGTGAGAGTGTGAACTTCAACTCCAAAGTATAGTTCATTAATACTGTATTCCCATCCGCTTTAAGACAACTTTCATAATTCATTATAATTAATAATATATTTTTAATAAATTAGTACTAAAAATGGATATTTGTAAAAGAAATCTAATAAATAAATTCTTAACTTTATCAATGTTGTTTTTTATAAGATTCAATTGTTCAATATTACCAAATAATTGTGGCAAAAGTATAAACCAATATAATAATAATAATAATAATNTGTTTTTTATAAGATTCAATTGTTCAATATTACCAAATAATTGTGGCAAAAGTATAAACCATAATAATAATAATAATAATAATGCACAAAATTCATGGCGAATAGTGGGAGGAATGAGAGCTAATATAAGTGAGTTTCCGTGGCAGGTGGCCATCAAACGTATGTCATATTATGGTGGGCACCGGTATATGATGGCCTCATGTGGCGGATCTATCATTAATAATCAGTGGATTCTAACGGCAGCCCATTGTGTGTATAACCAACCGGACGTTCACTCATATAAAGTGTACTTAGGTTTTAGTGCTTTAAATGAATTGTCTGTAAATCAATGGAGAATTGGAGTCAACAAGGTATAAGAAAATGAATTGAAATGAACTTAATATTTCTTAGAAAATAACTACAGTAATGCAGTAATTATTTAAAGTATATGTGAATGAATTGAAATGAATGTCTAACAGATTGTATCGCACGAAGGGTTTGATTATAAGAAGCGAAGTAATGACTTATCGCTAATCAAACTCAATGAGACCATTGATTTCAATAATAAACACCATTACTTACAACCCGTGTGTTTGTCGAGCCTATCAAATGAATGGACTGATGATAATTGCATTGCAACCGGTTATGGCTATCAAGACAAATGTTAGTTATTGATATTGTCCATTTAAAACCAATTTAAATATTTCTAAATAATTGTTTGAATCATTTTATGATTTAGATGGCATATCCAATAATCAAGTACTTATGAAAGTGTCGGAACCTATTTACGACATCACGTACTGTTCCCTTAAGATGAGAGATATTAATAAAGACAGTAATATATGTGCGGGTGGATCACCACAAGGAGGTACTTCCACTTGTAAGGGAGATTCAGGTGGACCACTCCAGTGTCGATCAAACGATGGAAAGTGGTATCAAATTGGGATTACATCCTGGGGTGAGCCCTGTGCTCATAAAGGGGTGCCTGACGTCTTCACTAGAGTCGCATATTTTAGGGATTGGATTGAAAATGTAATTCAAAATAACTAAAAATTTATTTACTAATTTTTAAAATAAAATTTTTCATCGAGATCTTGATTACAATTCAAATTTATTTGTTATTGAAGAATAAGTCTGAGAGTTCATTAATTCAAACAAATATACCGGTAACATTCAATACATACAGTAAGTTATAATAAATGCAATCTATTTGTTAATAAACGAAATACAGTAATTAGGAAAAGTAATTTATTTGTTAAAATCATGCAATAGATAACAAACAAGTCATTTAACCTGTGTTTTACGACTAAAAGTTTACTAAAAAGAGTAAATACTGTTCATCCTTGTTAAGAAAACAAATAATAAAATATGTTTTGATAAGAATTTTCGTATAAAACAATGTGTTACTACAATATTATTTCCGTAAAATTTAGTAAAATAGTATAATTCAATTTATAAATCTTGTCACAACAGTAGTAATAGTAAATTTTTTTAAAAATGTATGCAATTAATTTGCAAAATATGCCAAAACTTTATATTAATATTATGATAATTTTCATTGTTTTATATTATGTGACCAATTGTTCAATATTACCAGAAAATTGTGGTAAAAATTTAAGAGAAAGAGGTAATAGAGAGTGGGGTCTGAGGATAGTGGGCGGACAGAGATCTAATGTATGGGAGTGGCCCTGGATGGTCAACCTCAACGTGGAAGTTCATGTAAGCGGTCAATACGCGGCTATCATGTCTTGCGGCGGAACTATAGTCCACGAGAACTGGATTCTAACGGCAGCCCATTGTGTCCACAGCAGTACAGACCCAGCGCTATATTTTGCTTATTTGGGTTATAATGATTTGGATATAAAAGGTCCAGATCAGTTAAGATTATCAGTTGAAAAGGTACTCAAATAAATAAATGATTACAAATAGATTACTAATTGATTGAACGAAAGGTGTTGGCACACGAGCTCTTTGATTACGACAAACAGATCCATGACTTGGCACTCATTAAACTCAACGAAACTCTTGATTTTAAAAATAAACACAAATTTTTACGACCAGTTTGTATACCAGATTTAACCCATGAGCCGGCAACAAAATGCGTGGCCACTGGTTACGGATTTCATAGTGAATGTGAGTCTATTATATTGATGATTAAACTAATAATTTTACCAAGTTAATTTGATATTTAGCTGAATTTAAGAATAAAACACTTATGAAAGTTTCGGAACCCATTTATAACAT